GTGAGTGAGTGAGTGAGTGAGTGAGTGTGTGTGTGTGTGTGTGTGTGTGTGTGTGAGAGTGAGTGTGTGTGTGTGTGTGTGTCCTCTCGTGAGTGAAATGTCAGTGCGTTTAAACCTCAGCCGTCAGGAGCGTCAGATTCAACAACATCAAACATGAACACTAACTCTAGTCAGCATAATGAACAATGACATCATGCTGCTGTTTAGTTCCTGCAGAAGCAGAAGTCATAGTTAAGGTTACCACGGTAACCCTGTTTCCCGCCACAGTGCCAGTGTTACTTCTGCAAAATCAGATTCTGAACTGGCTGTTCAAATCACTCATGCAAAGCAGGGTTATTATACTACTGAAACATTTCACTTATAATTGAAAAACAAAAAATAACAAATATTAGATGGAAAAACTTTAAATCCAAATTTGAAATAATTCCTTGGCAAATCTATGTTTGAGCTGATGTAGTAAAATTACTCGCTGTAAATAAATACTAAAACTGAAGTAAATTAAACGTAAACAGTATTATAAAAAAATACTACAAAAAGTACAAAAAAAGTACTTAAAGTACTAACTTTAAAAGATGATTTCTAATTGAAATAAAGCTGAAATAAAATATAAATGTAAGATAAAAGACTTAACTATAAACAGTAATAACAATAAAAAAAATAAAAAATAAAAATAAAAACTTTAAATGCCTTGGCAACAAAATGAAACAAGTTTAAATTGAAGTAAATTCAAACTAAAGCTGAAATGAATGAAACCTACTTAATGTTTTAAAAAAACTGAATTACTAAAACTTAAACTAAAATTGAATATTAGTTAAAAAGCTTTGAATGAAAAAAGGGAAAATTGCACCGGTAACTAACTGAATTTACGGGAAATAAATATGAAAACTGAAAAAAATGAATGTAATTAATTATTAAAATTTAAAACAAATTCTAATTATTTATAAAACCTAAAATGCATGCATTTCGCAGTATAATAGTATATAAACACTTCTAAAATAACACTGATACAAAGCTTGTTGCTTATTACATACACTAACCTGTATAATGCATATATATTATACTATAACAAGTATATACAGTGTGTGAGCTACACACACCGTATCCGTGTTAAATCTGAGACCACTGACATGCGTGTCCGACAAATACAGTCCGCTTTTGGCAAGTCAAGAAGAATCCGAGTTACAACGTCCGTCTGGTATGTGTTAAACGCACACGCGCACACATACACACACACACACACACACACACACATACATATACATACACACACAGAGACACACACACACACACACACACACACAGCGACATCACAAACACAAACAAAGGCGTTCCCATCTGCGTGCTGAAATACTTGTCATAACTGTATGAAGAGCCAGTGTTTCTATTTCTGTGTTTAAAGCGACATGCCGCATAAACACAGCATATTTTCTGCGGTTTTCACTCTTATTTATGTCATCCAAACAGCAGGATCTGAGCTCCTGCGTTTGGTGCAAACACACTTGAGCGAGGAACACTGCGCACAAAATACAGCAGTTCGTCTAAACAACCCATCGCTTCATGTCCAAAAGAGAAGCTTGTCAGATGCTTTTAGGCCCAAACTTCAGCTCTGTGACGTTCAGTCAGATTTGTGGGCTGAATGGTGCGCTAGTGTCAGTTTTCTCAGTGATAAAGTGTCACAATGAGAGCAAGAAGAATGACATTTTGGTTTTTATGTACCAATTATATATAAAAATCAAATTGTACTTCATTTTTTGAATGCACTTGGCACAATAACATGACCACCGTATTATCAACCAGCCAAATTCCAAATCAAAAAGTAGCTCTAGATTCAGTATTTCTGCAGCTCGGACAGGTACTTAATCTCACTCATTCCACTCCAATCCACTATTCCGATCTATTCTGTATGTAAGTAACACACAAAGACAGCAAAACCATCATTCACGGATCACAGCAACTAAACGAGGCGCGGAAACCTGCTTTCTCAGTCCGTTCTTACCTCCAGGTTATCAAATGAAGGCATAAAACAGTCATTTAATTGATCTTTTAATCAAATGAAAAGAAACAACAACTTTATTTTTGAAAAAACAAAGGGGGTTTAGTATGAAAATTAAAACATGGGAGAAATATTGTGCTTACTCCTTAAAAAATTACGTTTTAATAATTTAGTAGTAGTAGTATTACGTAAATTGTTACTGCACAATAATATATTTCTGACACAATTTATTCAAGTTAAACCGAACTTTTATTTTGACGAGTTTGCCGTGTATACCTTTACACTTCTGTGTGTATATGATATGACCATTTTTCTCAAACGAAACGGTAAAATGCTTTGAATGAATTTGATACTGTAAAGCTGCTTTGACACAATCTGTATCGTTAAAAGCGCTAAATAAATAAAGGTAGAATTTGTGTCCTCATTTAGCGAGACGGCAGATGCTGAAATCACCGCTAGCGTCAGTATGTGTGTAGTAAACAAAACCGTGCATCTGCGCCATTCATTCACACAGACACAGAACATGGAGGATTCTTATTTAACGTCTTTTTGCTGCTTAATATTTATAATTTATAATATTTACACATACTGGTCCATATCGCGATTTGATTGAAGTGTACTGACCTACTTTAGATTAATGCATCCAAACTTCGACAAATTCAGTGAAATTCCGCATTATACAGTAAATTCCATTTTTATGAATGTATTCCGCGATTCCGTCCGCTTTTCCGCATCGTGGAAATCATAGCGCCCTACTCCAAGTTAGGGGTGTGCGATATTGACAAAAAATAATATCTTGATATTTTCTGTGATTTTATTGATAATGATAATTAGCTGATATTTTGCTGAGCGTGTTATTGTGCTGATCTTAAAGGTCCCATATTGTCAAAACTGAAATTACCTGGCTTTTTTCACGATAACTGAGGTCTAGGGGCTAATTAACTACCATATAAGTTTCAAAACAGTCAGTCCACAGTAAAATGCACTCAGCCTGCATAAAGTAGCTGTGATTTTCACGAACCGTTGTGACTTCCGTAAAAAGTTGAGGTCAGAACTACACAGTCACCGCCTTCAGTCACCTCCCCGAGCACCGCCCACCGTCCCACTCTCCTTTAGCCACACCCCCAGACAACATCGCGTCCATGCCATTGCTGAGCAACAACAACAACACGGAAACATGTCGAAAAGGTTAACTTTAACCACAAAACCAGATCAGCCGACCTGTAACGTTACACTCTCACTCAGAGGATGGACGATCTGACAGGATTGCTACTATGAGGTGATCACATCTAACGCGTATAGTGAAGACAAACTCAGCGTGTCTATCTAGTCAAGATGAAGATGTAGATACATTTCAATTTCAGCAGGAAACTATTTTTACAGCTACATTATTGTTCCAGCCACAATTAATCACAACAATGTATATACAATTACAAATTATTATATATAAATCGTCAGTTTGTTGTTTTACACACATGCACACAGACAATATTTCATACACGACATAGTCGTGAGATGCAAGAAACATAGACATATGGCAAGAAATCTGTAGATGCGTACATCGCGTAGATCCCATAACAACAAAACACAATACTTTATTGAACCTTTTCTGATAAGAAGTGTGCGCTGCAAACGTGAGCATTTTTGACGATCCTTTCTGTCCAGTCTGCTCGTTTTATCGCGTTTAACCACAGCTGTCGTTGTTTTTTTGTCTGGCAGTGGCAGCAGATATGCGATCAAATTTATAATTTGAGGCTGTATTACATCGATTCTGGCACCCAACAAGATGATATTTTAAGCTCCTTATGTAGCCGAACCTGCGCTGGTTTGAATGGGCCGCCTCCAGTTTCCCCTTTGTTTAGCTGCCTCCAGCTAGCGCTGTGACGTCACTGACCCTAGTTACCTGTGGTTGGCCTGGCCGTGCTTCACTCAGAAAACAACAGGCCAACCAGAAGAGAGGCTCATGAATATTAATTAGACAGGTCAAAATCGACCTGTTCTCAGCAGAGCTCCTGAGAGAGGAGCTGTAAAAATATATTGAGATGGTTTTTGGTTCTTATACCGCAAATATATATTCTTAAGGACATCAAAACCTAAAATAAAACTCCAGAAAGGTGTAAAATATGTGACCTTTAAGGACTGCCATAAACAGCTGACTCCTAAAGTTTTTCATATTCTTCATATTCTGTGTGGTGGTCAGTTCACACCGATAGAAATTAATCTTTTCCAATAAGATTAAATTGATTTTTAACTTTTATGGGCATTTTTACCTTTATAAAGCCATTTTTCTAAAAGTGTGCATTATCTTTTGAATCAAATTCTTACATTTAATCAGGGAATTAGAATTAGCTGTTACCAGGCAAATTAAATCAGTATCAATAAAATATCGTTTCTCTGTGCCTTTATCGTTATAGTTGTGGTGTGAACTTGGCTATTCTTTAATATTGAGAATGATTTTTAGAACTATATCTTTATAGTTATCGTGCTTGGTGTGAACAGGCCTTAAGTCTCTTAATTAACTTCTTTGATTTTATTAATTAAAATCAATATCACATTTGTAAATCACAGTAATTTTTGGAGAAAAACGGCATTCTTCGTGTGAAATTGATTAACTATATGAAGTGGTATAAATATATAAATTTTCTGCCCCCAAGTCTTGAATTTGTGATCATTGTAAATATTTTTTAATAGACTGAATCTTGCAGTGAAAGAACACACTCTAAATGCATATGCACACTACTCTAGACTTCACGTAAAGCATGCTCTCTGTAGGCGTTTTGTTTTGTTTTTGCAAAATGCTCGATAATGTCAAATCGCACATCGTTAAAACAACAATTACGATATTATCGCAGACTATATACATCGCACAGCCCTACTTTAATTAATACACAAAGACAGTAAAACCAGCATTCACGGATCACAGCAGCAAAACGAGGCACCGAAGCACGCTTTATCAGCACTAAAGCCCATCCTCACCTCCAGCACAGGTCCGGCCCCGAGGATGATCTGCTCCACGCCGCTGGCGAAGCCCTTCTGGCTGAGTGCCGTCAGGTGGTGGATGAGGAAGTTGGTGCTCTGCGTCTTTCCTGATCCGCTCTCTCCCGAGATCACGATGCACTGGTTCCTCCTCCTCTGCAGCATGGCGTGATACGCCACGTCAGCCACCGCGTAAATGTGCGGCTCCAGCTTCCCCAGCCGCTGCTTATCGTACATCTAAAGGCGAGACACCCCACGTGAATAGGGAAAAAAATTAACTAATAAATATCACCATACTTACACAGTTGATTGATTACATTAAGAATTATAAACATCTTTTGTATTACATGTTTTCTGAACTGTTATGTTTAAATATGCAAAGGAGGCATTATCTTATTAAATATGCGCTAATTTGCATACATTTCTAGAACAAAAATCTCTACATTGGATAAAGCCAGAATCAAAATTTTTGTTTGACTTTGCTGACATATTAGACTCAAATGTTTTTACAGAGGGGACTTTGAATATCTCTTTTATTCACTTCATAAATCAGAAAATATTGACAACAGCCGCAAAAAGATTTACATTTTTAAGAATAAAATGTTGTATAAAACCAGGCAAATTATACTGTATATGTGACCCTGGACCACAAAACCAGTCATAAGGGTCCATTTTTAACAGTGATGTATGGTTTGTTAGGAGAGGACAATATTTGGTCGAGATACTACTATTTGAAAATCTGGAATCTGAGGGTGCAAAAAAATCTAAATATTGAGAAAATCATCTTTAAAGTTGTTCAAATGAAGTTCTTAGCAATGCATATTACTAATCAAAAATGAAGTTTTGATATATTTTCAGTAGGAAATTTACAAAATGTCTTCATGGAACATGATCTTTACTTAATATCCTAATGATTTTTAGCATAAAAGAGAAATGTATAATTGTGACCCATACAATGTATTGTTGGCTATTGCTACAAATATACCCCAGCGACTTAACACTGCTTTTGTGCTGCAGGGTCACATATGAACAAGCCCCCCTGTAAAAACCTTCAGAATATAGATTGTAATAAAACTGTAAAGTTTTATTGTAAAGTATGTAAGTGCAACTGAAGTGGAGATTTTTGGCTCAGTGAAGGAAAAAAAAATCTCATTTTGAGAAAACGGCCTTTAAAGATATGTATATTTTAACTGCAATCTACAGACGCAAATAGATAAAGTGCTATAAAAGAAACTTAAAAGTGTATTGTAGATGTTTTCTTTCCACTAATCTGAAAAACCAAAAAGCCCAAACTCTCAAAACTGACAAGTGCATGAAAAATAGGGCTGGGACAATAAATCGATGCATCGTGATTCGTGGATCGATTCTGAAATTATCGGAATGCATCGTGATTCTCTCTGGAATCGATTCTGAGCTTAGTTTTTAACAGCAGATGGCGCTCTAGGCTAGATTTTAACCACACACTCAAACGTTCACGAAGAAGAGCGTTCGGCTGACTCATGCAAGTGGTTAAATGTACTTGCACCTTGGCTTTTATGACGAGAGATTAATGTAAACAGCCTACTATGAAGACCCTTGTAATTCGCTTCAACCTTTTCAAACTGTATGAATGATTATTTTAGGTTCAAATGGTGCGTGTGTAAGGAACTGGAAGCGAGCAGAGTACGGCCGTTTCTAAAGCACACAGCGCCATCTACTGTTAAAACCTAAGCTCAGAATCGATTCCAGAGAGATTCGCGATGCATTCCGCTAATCTTATAATCGATCCACGAATCGCGATGCATCGATTACTAAAATACTATTTTCTATTTTGTATTTAAAGACATTTAATCTTAGTATTTTTGTATTTTCTAAATACTTTTTGCCAATCAACCTCTTTATTAGACTGCTGATTTCCTGTATCAACAAGTACACAAAAATACTAAGATTAAATGTATTTAAATACAAAATACATGTGACTTTTCCCAAAGGTATTTAAATACAAAATAGTATTTCAAATACATGTATTGTTGATGCTTCACGATGCCATCAAATAACCTTTTTGTCTAAATGGTTCCATTAAGAACCTTTAACATCTGAAGAACCTTGCTGTTTCACAAAAGCTTCTTTGCGGCGAAAGAAGGTTCTTCAGATTATAAAAAGGTAAGAAAGAGATGGTTCTGTAAAGAACCTTTGACTGAATGCTTCTTTGTGGAACCAAAAATGGTTCTTCTATGGCATCGCTGTGAACAACCTTTTTAGCACCTTTATTTTTAAGAGTGTACCTTATGCTTTTGAAAATTCAAAAATGCTAAGATTAAATGTATTTAAATGCAAAATGCATTAGATTTTTTTCCAAAGGTATTTAAAGCTGCAGTCTGTAAGTTTTGCCTCTTTGTCGCCATCTCTGTTTAAAAACCTGCAATTGCAGCTGTGTGTGGAATTATCTTCCTTGCGTGGGTTGTGCAGCGGCTCGGCTCCAGCGCGGATGAATCTAGTGTTCTGAAGAGTATGTGTGGCAGTCAGTCACCGCACTGGTGTGGATATTCTAGCCTACGTCTTGGAATATATGACTCAAATAAGCATTTTCACCGGATATTGTCATCTGAACAAGTAACAAGTCTGCCACGTTTGTTCTGACCAACTGAGGAAAAAAGCATTACAATAAATCGCGCTACCAACGGTGATTTAATTTTAAAACTTATAAACACACAATCCTTTCTGGATTACAATCCGCCATCAAAATGATACAATTAATTATTCTGGCTGCTGTGAGAAAAGGCTATAAACGATTGGCCACCGGCAGGATCCTCACATGCGATAGTCTAGTAGCCGGGACAACTTCTTTATGTTTACAGACGTGACGTAATGACGCAGTGCCATGCTCGAATTTCCCGCGAAAACCTACCCATACCACTCAAATTAGAAAACATTATTATAAGATAACCGTTGTGAATCGGGCTAAAGTAAGGAGATAGTTTCAAACACTGGCTGGTTATGTACTTGCTCAAATATTGATTCCGGACCATTTTTAACCAAAAAAAGTTACGGACTGCAGCTTTAAATACAAAGTAGTATTTTGTATTTCAAATACATGTTTTTGAAATACTGCCCACCTCTGGACTCCCAGCCCTAATAAAAAAAAAAAAACTGCGTTTTTGCCTGCAGTGTCTTGCCTTAACGTATTTGGGGTTATAGATGGGCAGGAACTTGAAGGGGTTGACGACGATCAGGATCCCGCCGACGTACGTGTAAATTTTCTCCTGGCGAAAGCGTCCGCGCAAGTTCTCCAGCAAAGTCCGCTCGTTTAGATCGGGCAGCGCGCAGAGATCGTCGACGTACGGAGGCTGCGGGAGGAGTCCGCGCTCCACCATCCGTCGCCGCTCCTCAGTTACACGAAGCCACATCTGCAGGTTTCCGTAGCAGATGGATCCGTCCAGATCCTTCTCGCGCAGCAGAAAGCGGTAATCCTCTCCAGCCAGCCGGTTCTCCAGCGCCATGCGCGGCCACAGCATCATGCGCTGCACGGGACAGTCGCAGGGGTTCAGGATCCATTCTTCGCCGCCGAACTCCTTGACCTCAGCAAGCACGTAGAGGCGCGCACGGTCCAGCTGCAGCCGCTCGATGACGCGCTCGATGACCTCCGCCGCCGACGTCACCTTCCGCGCCGAGACTGGGCAGTAGATGGTGCCCTCGGACAGAGCGCCGGGATACACGCGCAACGTGAACTCCGAGTCCTCGTAACGCCGGCGCCCTCCGGCATCATGGCAGCTCATGATGCTGCAGCAGCTCCCATCGGCACCAGAGTCACCCGACAGATTCACGACATCCCACCTGCGGACAGATAAACACAAGCGGCAGTCAGAACGCACTTACGGTCCAGGGTGGCTATCGTAACAAATAGGGTTGCAAAAAGGTGGAAAATCCAGAAATTTTGGAAACTCTCAAGGATTTTTTGGAATATTTCAGGGATTTTTGGAAAGTTTCTGGAAATTTACCGTAAATTTTCCACCCCTTTGCAACCCTAGTAACAAACTAAAACTATTAAAAAAGAAGGTAAATAAACTAAAATAATAAAATAAAATAAACAATAATAACACAAATTTAAAAAAATAAATAAAAATAGATAGAACGATAGACAGAACGATAGATAGAACGGAGCACCAAAACAGCTTATTAAAATCTATCCTATTAGACAGACAGACAGACAGACAGACAGACAGACAGATAGATAGATAGATAGATAGATAGATAGATAGATAGATAGATAGATAGATAGATAGATAGATAGATAGATAGATAGATAGATAGATAGATATGTGGGTTTGAATTAACATGTGGGTGAGTAAATAGCATTTTCAGATTCCTTTAATACGACCAAGCAGATACTTTTAGAGATGCTTATTAAAACCAAACACAGAATAAAAGAGCAGGAAAAAGGAAGGAAGGAAGAGAGCAGAGGTGTTGAAGCAGGTTAAAAACAGCCGAGCAAATATATAATGCATAAAGAACAGATGGAAGAAAGAGAGAGAGAGAGAGACCGATTTAAGCAGAAAAAGCAGTAGCTCTGTTCACAAACCTAATGCTTCCTTCATAATGAATGCAATCCCACAATGCAATGCAACACAACTATACACTTTACTGTCTTTGGAGCACTTCAAACCAGTCACTTACGAGCTTGTATTTCAGTCAGGATGCTGACTTAGAAGACAGTTGCCTATCCAGGGAGTATGCAGCAAGACAGCACACTAGGTATTGGGACGGAGCCGCATCCAGCAGTTCACATCTGCGCTATTAACACACTTCTGTCTGCTATTAAACGAAACGCCTGATCCTCCTTAAACACATGACACCACAAACACACGACAGTTCCCGTCTGTGTCTCTCTGACTGCTGACAGGTCTGGGTAACACTGAAGATGAGCGACGGTGAGATGAGACAAATCAAGGACTATACGATACCTGAGCAACACATACTGTACAGCATCACACCTGCAGCTCACTCACACTTCACACCGCTTTACAGTCAAGCACAATGTAAAATTAAAAATAATAAAATATTTAATATTAGAAGAAATCTTTATTTATATTAAATGTATACTATATTTTTATGTGTTTATATTAAGGCTTTATTACATTTATTAATTAATATATTTTATATATTTTTTGTATTTTGACGAATCGTGCAAAACAAGTAATTTTTGATTTACTATTCATTAAAATAAACTAAATAGTTGATTTCATTTTTAATATTATATGGCATTATAAACAAAAACAAAGCAGCTTTACAGAAAATTAAAGTTTCTGCATTATTACTGAATGATTAATATAACAATATTTTAGATTTTGTTTTATTTTGATTAACTGTATAGAAAAAAAATTGTGAACAATTAATCAAAATAGAACACATTATTTTATTATTTATGATATTTTATAATTTGTTCTCTATTTTTATTCACAATAATCTTTATTTATACAACATCTAAATAAAAAAGTTAAATAAATAAATTAATTAATACCATTTACACTGATAATAAAAAGATAATAAAAATGATAAAGATAAAACATTTTTACTAAATTAAATATGTGGCTCTAATAATATTATCTGGTATCTATTTACTTTATTATAAATTAATCTGCGTTTATCATTTGGATGCATTTAAAAAAGCATAAAAATGAATTCATCTCATGATTTCTAATTGTGCCAAGTTATGTTTTTAATTGTGCTAAAATGTATTGTTATTCAATACAATAAAATATAAATATTAAAAGATGTTACCTTGATAACTAACTGAAATAAGATGAAGCATTATAGTTATGGGAAGCAACTGGAAATAAACAAAAAATAAATCTGAACTAAAACTAAAACTGAAGGAAAAAAAAAACTGAATGAAACCAAAACTGAAAAAAATACATAACAAATAAATAAAAAAGTAAATAAAAATCTCAAAAGCACAAAACAAGATGACTAAAAATTAAACAAAATTAAATTAAAAAAATAAAATAAATAAATGCTACTTCAAAACAGTAATTAAATGTATAATATTTATGTAGCATGTAAAGTCTTTCCATGTGGCATCTGTTAAAAAGACAACAGAACCAGGTTTAAGTTGAAGCACTAAAATTACTAACTGGAAATAAATACTAAAGATTAAAACTGAAAAACATTTTCAAATAAAACAAAACATGAATATAAGAAAAAAAAAACTTGATAATGTTACCTGGGCAACTAAGTACTAAAATTACTAACTATAGAAATGAACTAAAACTAAAATAAAAACACAATAAACCTAAATAGTTATTTTTAAAACAAAGAAAAATTTAATTTAAAAAAAGACAAGAATCGCATAAAATTACTGAAAAATAAACAAATTAAAAATAAATATACAAGCTACTTCAAAATGTCAGAATTATTACATAAATAATACAAAAATAACACTGACTTGCACGGACTTTCTTAAAAATGTACAAACATCATAAGTATGCAACATACTTTCAAATGAGAGAGAGTTAGTTTACGAGAGCAAACAAGCGTTTTGAAATCCCACAGAAGACCCTCAGACTGAATGAGGAACCAGGAATGAATTATCAGCCATCATATGTACAGTAAAACTCTGAGAAACCTCATTCCTAAACGACACCGGACTCCCGCGATCCAGCCACACATATATTATGTAAACAAAAACTTTTATTTTGGATGCGATTAATCGCTATTAATCGTTTGATGGCACTGATAAAAACCCTTGTCAGGCCAACAAAATTACCCCAAATGGTGTCCCAACTAGTCAAACACAGTTTGTTGTTGAAACTGTTGAAATGTTAAGGCTTTGTGAGTTCCCAGCATGCACTGCAGCATGAATAAATTACGCAGTTTCTGCTATAGGATCATTGTTTTGCTGTTTGTTGTTTTATCACTATTGTTAGTGTGATGTACAGAGCTCATCAGAGAAAAATAAATGACCTCAATGACAGCAATTGTTGTTTCAGTTGCTGTGACAAAAATCTTTCTATTAGCAAAATAAGACCATTTACATTGGCTAAACAAAGTATCTTTACTGAGAAGAAATAAGAAGCTATTGTTGAGAGAACTGAAGTCTCACTGCATCAAGCTGCCTTATTTCTTTTTACGTTTTCTCAACTATTTACTTGTTACACTGCACAGACTCACCCGTAGTGTTGCTTTCGTCAACGAAAATTATGACTAAATATCGTCGTCAACGAACCTTTATCACGTGACGAAAACGAGACGAGACGCACCGTAAATGCTGGTCATGTGACGATGACCATAATATAATGCAATATTGTTGACGAATAAAAACGAGACTAAATGTGGTTTACAAAATAAAAACTATGCTAAAATGTCTCTTCATTTGCGTTGACCAAAACGAGACGAAACGAAATGTTATAACGTTATTTCGTCTCGTTTAGTCGCGTTATTATTATTATTTTGCAGTATTTCCCGCTTCAGCGGCTGCATCAGGTCGCACTGCGCAGACGCAGGCGACGTCACTTCCTCAAGCCCCACTCGCGGCATTATTTAGAAGACGACAACAAACAAAGTTAAGTCTGACACAGAGAAAGGGACCGATGGCCGGCCAGCCGGGGTTCGTCTTTATTTAAATTTATATGTGTGTACTTCTAACATGTTTGGTTGGTCAAATAAATGTTGTAAATTCAAATCAGAGCGTCTTCCGTGTCTGGAATGGATGTATTCTTGAGTCTATAAGGTAACAATAATATAATAAGATAACCTTGTTTGAAATGGGTTTGGCTAAAAGAAAATTTTGGTTTTGTCTATACTACCAGGTACTTATACTATATTGACTGGGTTAAATAGAATTGCATTACTAAAATACAATTTTCGTCGACTAAAACTAGACGAAAATAGTCATGGATAATTCTGACTACAAGAAGACTAAAATGCTCAGACTTTTAGATGAATGAAACTTGACTAGACTAAAAAGAGTATGAACGTGACTAAAACAAATAAAAACTAAAATGACAGCTTCACACAAACTCAAATTAAAACAGGCCGCCAAAAACAACACTACTCACCCGGTGACCTGCAGAGTAACGACAGGCATGAACGAGAACCACGCAGACTCAACTCCGGAATTAAACTAGATCCTCATCGCTCAGTCCTGAACGACCCATCATCTTCATCATCATCATCCCAGCGTCTGGGACGCCAAACTCTGACATTCCAGTCAGCCGGGTTTGATCCTTATAAGGTGAAGAAGCTCGAGTCCGGGAGAGAAACATGGGACCCAACGGACCTTAAATAGGAGGGATGCTCGTCTGAACGCGGGACGGGGATCCGCTCGCGTCCCTAATGCTGTCTGCCGCTCCTACAGATGAGCGTGTGTGTGTGTGTGTGTGTGTGTGTGTGTGTGTGGCAGCTGTGCCTGAGAGGGGGAGGAGGAAATGCACAGAGGGGGAGGGGAGAGAGAGCTCTCTCATGCACACACGGATGCTGCTTGCTCTGCATCTGGTTGCCAAAGCAAAGCACAATCAATATGGAAGGGGAGCGCTATTTTATGATGGGAGAAGTTGTTGTGTTTTTGGTGGTGAAATTCATTATTTAGTATCTGAACCTTCAGCTATTCTGTATCATTTATTCATAAAGTCCCTTTTTGCCAGAAGGAAATGGATACAGAGAGGGGGAGGGGAGAGAGAGAGAGAGAGAGAGAGAGAGAGAGAGCGAGAGAGAGAGAGAGAGGCTTGTTATTTCCTGAAACATGAGAGAGAGACAGAGACAGAGAGAGAGAGAGAGAGAGAGAATCATATGTGGACAAAGAAAGGAAAAGCAGAAGAGTTTGGTGCTCTCTCGCAGGA